GAAATTTCAATTGGTTACTTTGTGTACTGTACAAAAAAGAGAGGCAGGAGGAAAGGCGTGTGTCTGTCTTGCTCATCCCTCTATACCTAGAGTCTAACAAAGTGGCTGCACACGTTGGGTTTGGGCTAAATTGGTGAAGGTGTACATTCTAGGTTCTTAAGCAACTTGCCTGCGTAGTATTTGTGGATTCATACTCAAGAAAATTTTAATATGCCCAAGTTATTCATTTGCAGCAAGATCTGATGTTTTAAAAACTCTCCTTCAGTCAGCACTAAAATAATGCTGTCGTATATAGACAATGCCAGTACAGAAGGTCACTCAGTTGTACTCATGTGAATGGATGTAGCATGAGGTGAACTTAATGAAAAAGTACTTGGGGCTTAGAAGAGAAAGGTGTAGGTTTAAGGTTCTTTTCTTCTAATATATAGTCTCAGTTTTCTCATTTGTGAAGTAGTGATAAAAATACCTGACTTACTTTTCTCCCAGCTTTGTTTTGAGAAAAATTCAGTAGCATATGAAAACTGCTTTATGAATTAATGGGCATTCCATAGAAATAACAATGATAATAAATCATAGCTATTTGGTAACAATAATAAATTAGTATCCGTATTTCCTCACGCTATTCACATTTTAAATTCATATTTAATAATAGCTTAAATTATGGAATGAAGATTGCCATTTCATGGTATTGAAGACTTACTTTTCTACTGATAATTATTCCCACCTCCTAAAAGAACCAGTTACTTTCTTCTTAGTATTTATGTCAGCATTCTAAATTAAGGTCAGGTTCACCAAACAATGCCAGATTCCACAGATGTGGAAGAATAAATATTTGTAATGCAACAGTTGTAATTGCTCCCCAATCCCCAAAGCAATTTAAAGTTGGAAGGATAGCTCTGTGGAATGAAGAAACTTCAGGTGTGTCAGGGACAGTGTCCCACAGACCCAATTAAGATGGCTATTAGGAATACACTGTGACAGAACTAAAGCACAAAAATAAAATGACATTCTCCGACCCATGCACCTTGTGGAAACAAGAACAAATGTTCACCTAATTAACTTTATAAAATGTCAGAACTTTTAAATCCAAAATATGCTTACCAAAGCAAAGTTAATTCAAAGTAAGATCTTAATTCAAATGATAAGTTCCAAGGTGAAATGCTGGAACTGAAAATGGTCCAGATATTATAAATTAAATAAAACAGATATTTGTTGTGAATTAAATGCATTGCCATTTAACTTTTTTGCTTAGTTTATCTTCATTCTTTTAGAAAGGTTAATGTCATGCAGAATGCTATCGTCAACCTTTTTTGGAATGAGATGAAATACAGATAATCAATAATATAAATAAACTTATAGGGCAAAAGTGAATTCAAATGTTTAAGGCCAAAAAGTAAACTAAAAATAATCCAGAATGGTTAGTTTGGGACAAGAATTCAGATAGAGAGATGGTATATTATCAAATTAAAGTGTTTCAAACAATCTATTAAGCTATGTTACAGATATTAACACAGATTCTGGCTGTAATTTTCCAAAAGATGCTACATTTCACTGCAAAATAGATGGAATCTGGAGGGCCATTTTCAGAAGGCAGGCCCATGCCCAAGCAGGAGACTCACCAACTACGGACTATGGTTCCACATACTAACCCAGAACCAGCCCTGTTCCCCTGTGGACGTGGCTACAACACTGTTTGGCTTCGATCCTGCCACCAGTACCATCTGCCAAAGGACTCATCAGGAGTCATGCCTCCCATGCCACAGGTAACAGGCTCACCGACCTCACTCCTGGCGGTGACCCTGAAGTAGCCGTGACCTGGCTCCAGCTGCTCTTAGCCAACAGGAGTATTTGTCCAGGGACCAGGCAGGAGACACACCCGCTCTGTGCTCCATGGCAAGCCCTCCAACCTCTGTCTGGCTGCAGATCCTAAATTGGCCTATACATCTGTTCCAGTCCCTTCAGGCTGGAAAACTCACTGCCCACCAGGGGCCCACCTAGAGACATGCTTGTCTAAATCCCTGGAGGTAGACCTGCTGACCTCAGTTTCTTTAGAAGGAACTAGAACCTTTGCAACCAGAGAGAAGTACTGTTCGCACACACTTTTAGTCTGTGTCTCTGGAGGTAAGCACTTGACCTCGGTTCCACTGCAGATCTTGAAAGGGTACATAAACTGGCTCCAGCTCCTCACAGCCACAGTCAAAAAGTGGACCATCCCAGGGCCCTGTTGGGAACCCTCCCAGGGACCTGAGGGCTACATGCATCAGTGCACCTGATAAAAAGCCCACTGTCTGTGGACCCTAAAGCAGACCCTTGTCCCAAAACTAGCAATATTGACCAAGGTCCTGGAGGCAACCTCATCCACCTGGGGACCTGAAAGTATATAAAATATGCACCTCACTGCTAACGATAAATATAAATATATACTGCAATGGTGGCATGTAAATCACTTTTATTACTAGTATATAAAGGTAAAAGTAGTATGAATTAACTAATACTACAGAAATTTGTTAATAGAAAAACAATACAGAAACATGATATCAATTACATGAAAGGAGGAAATAAAATGTAAAATTGCTGCATGTGATTGTGTTATGTTCATCTGAAGAGTGAAGTAATGAGGAAAGAGAGTAAATCAATAATAAAAAATCTCCCAACAAAGAAGGGTCCAGGACCAGATGGTTCCAATGATGAATTCTGCCAAATATCTAAAAAAAAATTAATTCCAGTCCCTCTAAAAATCTTCCAAAGAACTGAAGAAGAGGGAATGCTTCCAAATTTATTTTTAAAAGGACAGCATCACCCTCATACCAATACCAGGTAAGGGCATTACAAGGAAAGAATAATACAGACCAATATTCCTGATGAGCATAGATAAAAACAATTCTCAACAAAATATAAGAAAAACAAATTCAACAACACATTAAAAGGATCATGCAGGATTTATCCATGAGTTGCAAGGATGATTCAACATTTGCAAATCAATAAACATGAAACTCCATATAAACAAAATAAAGATTTAAAACTATATGATTTATTCAATAGATGCAGAAAAAGCACCTGATAAAATTCAATACACTTTCATGATAAAAATTCTCAATAAATCAGGTATAGAAAGTAGGTACTTCAACATAACAAAGACCATATATGACAAGTTCACAGCTTAACATTATACTCAAAGTTGAAAAGCTATGGGGAGGTGGAGTAAAACTAAGGTGCTAAAGAGTTGGTTAAAATTATTTAAATAATATTTTACATGCCTAAAGCCTTGTTGTCATAAATCAAAGTTAAAGAGAATTAAACAAGGATCAGATACAAATGCAGGGCCTCCAGGGAGGAGGGAGGAGGAGAAGCACTAGAAGTTCAAAAGCCATCATCCACAGGGTCTGGTACACGCCCTTCTGTATAGAACCCAAAGCAATGCCAATGGGACCCACCCGGAGGAGAGAGGAAAAGCTGAATGTTTTCTGCAGTGACAACACTCTCATTCTGGTGGAGCAGTGGCAGAACAGCAGATTTTAGTGACCACATCATTTATGTAGAAACCTGGGTCAACCCATAGGAGGTGGATTGGCAAAGAACGCAGCCTCTGAGTAGGAGATATGAATATGGTCATGTTGTGGCTCTAAAACAGGAAAGAGTAAAATTAAGAAAATAAAATCAGCCCTAGCCGGTTTGGCATAGTGGATAGAGCTGACGCCTGCGGACTGAAAGGTCCTGGGTTTGATTCCGGTTAAGGGCATATGCCCGGGTTGCAGGGTCAGTTCCCCAGTGGGGGGCATGCAAGAGGCAGCCAATCAATTATTCTCTGTCATCATTGATGTTTCTATCTCTCTCTCCCTCTCTCTTCCTCTCTGTAATCAGTAAAAATATATTTAAAAAAAGAAAGAAAGAAAATAAAATCAAAGCTTAGCTATCACAATGGACCAAGAGATTATGGGAAAGCTAGATGGTAAAAAAAGAAAAACTATGATAAATTTATTGAAGAGTTTCAATGCGTTGGAGAATAAAAGAACTGCTTTTATTTCCCCAATCACTGTTTTTACCACTCCTTTGGATCCTTTGAGAACATCTCAGACAGATTTGAAATGTTTGTTTATTTTGGCATAAAATACCTACTTTCTTCCCTCCTTTAGATAGTTCTCTGCTAGTCTGCAGTCTTGAAAGTTCAGCAGGTCTTCATTCTTGAAGACAAAACCCAGATGCTCTTTCTTTGCAGACACCCAAAACCTTAAAAGAGTGTTTTTGTAGCACACCCTCACGTGGCTTGCATTGGAAAAAACAACTTTCCTATTCTTCCACAGGGACTGCAGGGACACAGCTCTCACCACTCTGTTGTGCAGTCCCCATCAGGTAGAAGTTTCTTCTCCTGGCCTGAACTTTTCTTTATATAGATATGGAGGGAAAGACAAGGGAGGGTGTGGCATATTAGCAGAGTGATTTTTATGGGACAATATCCAGCTCTTGTCATTATTAGCTTAGGTAAAAGAGGTGCTTAGTAGTAACTTTTAGTCCTCAACTTGGAGTCTTAGCTTCAATTCTGGAATTCTAGGGCACTACAAAGTTGGTACTATGCTGAGTCCCTTCTCCACTGGGACCTGATTTTAGTCATTTCCTTTTGCATGGTAAGGTAACTATGGCTTACAGAGAAAGTCTATCCAATATCATTTAGGTAGTTTGTGTAATTACAGATTTTGTACTCTTGCCTCTCTACTTCCAAAGCTGTGTGTGACTGTTTCTACTATATTTCCACACAGTATAACAGAAACCCTCATTTTAGATATCACCAGGAGTGAGACGCTAATAGAATTCGTTGTTCTTGTGTGATCTGGATCAGAGCATATTGGAAGCTAAGTTTATAGAGAACTATATTTCTCAGTAATTCTTGCTGTACAGGGTTAGGGAAGGAGAAGAATAAAAATATTTCTCCTTCACCATGCTTTCCACAAGGAGGTTCTTACTGATTTACCCATGAGTCCACCTTTGTACCTATTACACACAGACTTATATTTTCTGAATAGAAAATATTTATTGAGTAGGTTTTTGGTTCAGCAGATATTTCACGGCAGCTTTTACATCCTTATTTCTCAAGCTATAGATTATAGGATTTAGCATGGGGGTCACGACTCCATAAAAGAGGGAAATAAGCTTGTCTGAAGTTTGCAACTTGTCTTCCCCAGGCCGTTCTTGAGACTTGGGTTTGGCATACATAAAGAAGATGGTTCCATAAAAGATGATCACCACAGTCAGATGTGCTGAGCAGGTGGAAAAGGCCTTGTGCCTCCCAGTGGCTGAGTTTATTCTCGAGATGGTGTAGAGGATGAGCATGTAGGAGAAAAAAATGACCAGCAGTGGAAGAACCAGGAACGCCATATTTGATATCACCATGGTGATGATATTGAGGGATATATCAGCACAAGCTAGCTTAAGGACAGCTAATATTTCACATGTGAAGTGATTGATAATGTTATTCCCACAGAAAGGCAATTGCATGGCAAGAGATGTTTGCACCATTGAGTTGATTCCGCCAGAGAGCCATGACACAGAAGCCATCAGAACGTACACCACCTTGCTCATGATGATGGGGTATCTCAGAGGGTTACAGATGGCCACATAGCGGTCAAAGGCCATCATGCCGAGGAGCAAACACTCTGTTGACCCCATTGCAAACCCAAAGAACATCTGCACTGCACATCCAGAGAAGGAAATGTTCCTTTTTTTTGAGATTAAGCTCACCAATGTTGAGGGAACAGAGGAGGATGTATAGCAGATATCCAGGAAAGAGAGGTTGCCCAGGAAGAAGTACATGGGGGTATGAAGACGGGAATCAAAGATGCTCACTATGATCAGAACACCATTGCCAATCAGAATCACTAGGTACATAACTAGAATTAGAGCAAAGTAAATGATCTCAGTCTTTGGGTATCCAGAAAGACCAAGAAGTAGAAATTCTGACACAAATGTCTGGTTAATTTTATCCATGTCATCTGCTTTCAGAAGGAAGATGCATCATAAAATGAATTCACTGCCAAGAAACACTTGTAAAAATTTCCTGAAGAATTCATTTTTTAGAATGGATTATAAGGAGTGTTTGCTTGAAGCTCTAACATCTGGTTATCTTCAACAATGCATGTAACTAGAATACAATGAAATTGGGAAAGATGGAAGTAACAGCACCAAATGCCAATATATGAAGATCTACCTCTGATCAGACACAGAAGTAATATTTCCTGCTGTTGAGGACATGTCCCTGGGTTGAGATTTCTAAACTCTTGACTAATTACTAATTATAAGCCTGAATTCTTCATCTGTCCCAGAAAGCAAGCAGTGGAAATGGCAAAACACTGAAAATTAGATTTGGAATTAATAATGATGGTAAAATTTCACAGCAACTTTGATTTTTTGGTGCATATTTCTTTCTCAGCCTGCATACCTTAGATTAGTCAATTTAATTATATCTTTTATAGACAATTAATAATAAATTGAATGGTATTAACTGACATTTAACATGTTTAAACATAATTGATCTCATATTCCAGCCCCTCTGGGTATCTCCTGTGAGACCATTGCATATATCAGCTCCACATGAATGTTATAGATAATCTTCAGAGAACATTACATAGTCTCTTCACTTATTTTATTCTGTGGCTTCAGAGTGTATCTTGATAATTGATTCATTTAATTCAACCTAAGAAAATTAGGTTTAAATATTTCATATAAATATACACCACTTTGATTTATAAAATATAATCTTTTATATTATTCCCATTTTTCAAATATAAAAGATGGAACTTCTCCAAAGTTAACAAGGTAGCAGTAAGTGGAGCTTGAAGCTCTTATCAAGTCTAGTTCACAGCTTCACTAACTCTCATCTACATATGAACCATCTGGGTATCTTGAAAACTAAATTCTGCTTTAGTGTTCAGGGCAGCTCCTGAGATTCTGCATTTATCCTGAGTGCCCAGCTGATACTTATGCAACAGGTCTGAACACACTTGGGTAACAAGACTTCAGCCTACACCAAATTGGTAGATTATGCAGATTTTTCTGATCCAAATAGATTTTCTTTGCTTTATTATGGATGGGCATGCCATCCTGAAAAATGACAAGAACATACTTTTTTGTTTTACAGGAAGCTCCATATTCATATCATGTTTGTAAACATCCTAAAGAAAAAATATTATTGAAAGACAAAGTTTTTTAAAGTGGGCTAAACTTTGCCAGACCTTTAATCCAGTCATATTCTAAGCACAAAAGAATAAATAAAAGAATAAAGTGCCTGCCATTACAAAGCTGACAATTCAGTTGGATACAAGAAAACTACATATGAAAAGACATTATAAGTATAATTACATTATGTAACTGAAACCGTGGAAAGTGAAACCCTGGATAAGAAGGAACTGTCTTTAATGGAATATATATGACATTAATTTAACATACTGAAATAGTCTCTCAGGCTAAAATAAAAGTCTGGTTTGAAGTTCTGAGCTCCTAATTAGAGCTGCAGTCTTTTCATTTTAAAAATGGTGATAAAAATACCTGTTTTACTTTTCTTGCTGTGATATTATATGGAAATAATGAGATAGCACAGAGAAATTGCTTTAAGGATTTTATAAATAATAATGAAATAATAAAAATGATTCACATCTGTATTTTGCTGACAATGAATTGAATATTAAATAACAGCTTTACTGTAGATTGAAATACAGTTTCATGGTATTGAAGACTTACCTTTCTACTGATAAATTATTCCTACCTCCTAAAAGAACCAGTTACTTTCTTCTTAGTATTAATGTCAGCATTCTGAATTAAGGTCAGGTTCAACAAACAATGCCAGATTCCACAGATGTGAAAGAATTAATATTTGTAATGTAACAGTTGTAATTGCTCCCCAATTCCCAAAGCAATTTAAAGTTGGAAGGATAGCTCTGTGGAATGAAAAAACTTTTGGGTGTGTCGGGGACAGTGTCCCACAGACACAATTAAGATTGTTGTTGGGAACAAACTGTAGCTAAACTAAAGCATAAAAATGAAATGACATTCTCCTACCCATGTAACTTTGGCAACAGAGGCAAATAATCACCAAATTAACTTTATAAAATGTGAGAGAGCATTTTAACTCAAAATATGTTTACCAAAGTAAGGTAAATTCAAAGCAAGAAATTACACATTCAAATGATAATTACCAAAACAAAATGCTAGAATTTAAAATGATCTAGCTTGGCTGGTGTGTCTCATTGACCCAGGAACCAAGAGGTCATGATTCCCAGTCAGGGCACATGCCAGGATTTTGGGCTTGATCCCCAGTGTGTGTGTGGGGGGGGGGGGTTGCTGGAGGCAGCTGATCTATGATGTTTCTCTCTCATCAATGTTTCTATCTCTCTATCCCTCTCCCTTCCTCTCTCTCTAAAAATCAATAAAATCATATTAAAAATTATCTAGATATTATAAACAGATATTTGGTGTGAATTAAAGGCATTGTCATTTAACAGTTGTCTGTCTATGAGTTGTTATTATTATTTTTTGCTTAATCCCTTCACTTTTTCATCCAGCCCAACAACCCCCGCTCCTCTCTGGCAGCTGTCAGTCAGTTCTCTATCTATGAGTCTGTTTCTATTTTGTTTGTTAATTTATTTTGTTCATTAGATTCTACATGTAAGTAAAATCATATAGTACTTATCTTTCTCTGAATGGTTACTTCACTTAGCCTAATACTCTACAGGTCCATCTGTGCTGTCACAAAAGGTGAGATTTCCTTCTTTGTCACAGCTGAGTAGTATTCCATTGTGTAAATGTATCATAGCTTTTTTATCCATTTATCTACTGCTGGACACTTGGGCTGTTCCCAAATCTTGGCTATCCTATATAATAAAAGGGTAATATGCAAATTGACCCTAACAGCAGAACAACTGGGAATGACTGGTCACTATGACACACACTGACCACCAGGGGGAAGACACTCAATGCAGGAGTTGCCCCCTGATGGTCAGTGCGCTCCCACAGAAGGAGCTCTGCTCAGCCACAAGCCAGGCTGGCGGCTGCCAGCACAGCGGTGGTGGTGGGAGTCTTTCCCACCTCCTCAGCAGTGCTAAGGATGTCCGACTGCAGCTTAGGCCTGCTACCCGTTGGCAAGTGGACATCCCCCGAGGGCTCCCGGGCTGCCAGAGGGATGTCTGACTGCCAGCTTAGGCCCAATCCCCCGGGGAGCAGGCCTAAGTCAGCAGGTGGACATCCCCCGAGGGGTCCCAGACTGTGAGAGGGCACAGGCCGGGCTGAGGGACCCCCCCGAGTGCACAAATTTTCGTGCACAGGGCCTCTAGTTGTAAATAACGCTGCAAATGAACACAGGGGTGGCATATATTCTTTCTAATTAGTGTATTGGGTTTCTTGGAACATATTCCCAACAAGTGGAATTGCTGGGACATAAAGCCGTTCATTTTTAATATTTTGAGGTAATTCCATACTGTTTTCCATAGTGACTGTACCAATCTTAATTCCACCAACAATGATTATTAATGGTATTCATTTTGTAATATATAATTATATCATATCAACACAATGTTATATGTCAATAAAAATTCAGAATAACACATAAAACATAGATTCCAAGTTTTTCTGGTTTGAAGAACAGAGAAAGAGTTTAGGGAAAGAGGAATTGAGCTCTAACTCCTTTCAAAATTTTTTTTCCAATGGTCCTTCTGTGAAAAGTACCACTGTAGGCAAAAACTACAGAAATGAAATCAACATATAATTTCATAGTATACAAAATATAGAGCACATTTGAGAAACTAATGGATATGGTAAAATAGTCCATCTGCCTACAAGTACATATCCTGTGTGTCCACCATGCTCAAGAAACATCTTTTTTTAAATATATTTTTAAAATTGATTTATAGAGAGAGATGAAGGGAGAGGAATAAAGAGATAGAAACATGATGAGAAACATTATTGATTGACTGCCTCCTGCACCCCCCCCCCTACAGGGGGTCAAGCCCACAACCCAGGCAGGTGCCCTGATGAGGAATCAACCCGGTGATCTCTTGGTTCATGGGTCAATGCTCGGTCACTAAGCTACACTGGCCAGGGCTCAAGGCACATCTTGAGATGTTGCTGTGATAGAGAAAAGTAAAGCAGAAAGTTGTCTGCCTTTAAGCAGTTTTCAGCCCCTGCAGGAAAACTTGTTGCATATACATATCATAGGCAATGAACAATATCTTTTTGTTGCTCAATTACTCATTCTTTAAGATAAAGATAATAACAGTACATATCTCATGAATTGCAATAAGAATTATATAAATCAAATACACATAAAGTACATACAATGCCCACTTCTCTCACTCAGTTGGTATTGTCTATTATTAATTAGCATTAAATGACAGATACCTGAACAGAATAACTTGTAGCATTTAGAGTGAACTAAAGAAGAAATATGTAGGAGATTAGAGAAAAATTACTAATTTGAAAAATTAGGCTTATCTGAAAAAGTTTTAACAAAAAAAAATATAGAGAAAGGAGGATTCATTTCTGGGACAAAAGTTGAGTTTGAATGCAGACCTTTGTTATTAAAGACTAGAGGGCCAGTGCACAGAATTTGTGCAAGGGGTGTGTGTGTGTGGCGGGGGGGGGGGGGCGGGGGAGGAGAGGCAGGTCCCGCAAGCCAGCCTGCACCCTCTCCAATCCGGGATCCCTCTTGCAATCTGGGACTGCTGGCTCCTAACCTCTCACCTGCCTGCCTGCCTGATCACCCCTAACCGCCTCTGCCTGCCTGTCTGATCGCTCCTAAACACCTTTGCCTGCCTGCCTGATCGCCTCTAACCCCTCTGCCTGCCTGCCTGATGCCCCTAATTGCTCCCCTGCTGGCCTGATTACCCCTAACTTCTCTCCCCTGCCGGCCTAATTGCCTCTGGTCCTCGGCCCCCACCACCATGTCTTTGTCTGGAAGGACATCCTATCTGGTCTAATTAGCATATTACCCTTTTATTAGTATAGATAATTTTTTATATAAGTTTACATTCTATTCCACATGCTTTAACTTTTACATGGGTCTAGAGGGAAAATAAAGTTTAGTTTTAACTTTTTATTGAAATTTCATTGTTAGT